AAATTTGAAGTTTTGCGTACTTTCAACTTTTTTAAATGAAATGCCCTATATTTGCTTCTAATATATAGTTTGTTTATATTTGTTTGAGCCGCCTTCAACATAAAGTCTGTTTTTTTTTTTAAAGATAAAAGTCAAAATGACATTATGTTGGCAATACAATGTAAAATTGTCAATGCTTTCAAATTTTTAATGTAGAAAAGGCTTGTGTTGCCAACATATAGTTACTAAATTTTTGACTTTAAATAAAAAAACAAACTTTATTTGGCTCTAAAAATTAAAAAATTGGAAACTATCCTACTGACGATTTTGTGAACCATTCTGATAAAAGCTTCAGGTAAAATTTGAGGCACTTGGTTTCTCCGATGGTATTTTCAAAATTTTTGAAGCCAAATATGATGGAGACGGCTCAACTAAATATAGAGAAACTATATACTTTTGGACTCGGAAAATTGTGCTCTTCAAGAATATAGAATCAAATATAGGGCATTCTATTTGAAAAAAGTTGAAAGTACGCAAAATTTCAAATTTCTGACATTAATTTAGCTAAAACTGCTCCACTTTTGTGTTTACACCTATCATCTACCTATAAAGGTAGTGTGTCAAATTATAACCAGACACCCTGTACCTTCCAATATTTTGTATGGCCCCCCCCCCCTTAATTTGGGTCTGGATCCGCGCCTGCCACATTTATAGGCTCAAATTTCAATAAGTACTATGATTTTTTTAGAAAAAATCTGATAACAGATTCTTGTTTAGAATGGTCTAAAACCCAAATGTACTAATTTTTGTTTCAATATGATACAGGGTGATCACAACAAATTTTCAAAATTTAATGGACCAAACCGGAAAAATTTCATATTTTGAGGCCTTGAGTTGAGAACAACAAAACTTTATACAACATAGATTCAGAACATCCTTTAACCAAAACTTATAGTAAGCTTGTCTCAAAATATAACATTTTTGTGGTAAGATTCATTAAATTGTGAAAAGGACCCCGCACACTTCTTATGGGATTTTGGTTGAACGCGGAATTTAACCAAATTTTGGGATGTTGTATATTTCGACCTCCTGAGTAAAAGTTCTCATGGGTACAAATCGATCCTATGACTAGTTTCGGATATACGGGGGTTTTTCTAATACTACGTCAGGCAACTTGAAAATATTGAAATTTTAATGCTTTTTCCGTTTATTTGTGGTAGGTAGCTTTAAAAAATGTTGATTAAGTTTAGACCTTTTACAGAAAGGTGCATGTTTTTAGTTAGGTGCCTATATATGTGAATGTTCGAGGGTATTTTGAAAAGTACTTGTTTGGTGGACCTTTAATTGTGTGTTTTTAAAACAAACACAAATAGAAGTATGACAAACTATACTGTATTTTTTTCCAAGATAGATTTTGACTTGACACTGTCAACTTTGAAACATAAACAATGCCGCTTATTGGTCGCAAGACGCAAGATGCCATTTCCACCTCATGCATTGTAAAACTGATTACAACCTGCAGGGACACCTCATTTTCTGTCCAATCAGGGCCAAGCGTTATTGTTTATGTTTCAAAGTTTTCAATGTCAAAATCCACCTTGAGTTCTCAACAATAAGATTTTCATCCTTAAATCCTAACTCGTTTCGACGCTTTACAGCCAATCTACGGACTTCGGCATCTTTCAGTAATAAAACAGTGCGATTTACTCTTACTCCTAATCCTTCATTGCACACGTAGCACATTACCTTTCCCGAATTGCCATTTTCACAAGAAAGGTGACAAAAAATACAATTCGCTTTATTGACAGGGTCACTGTTTTGGTTTCTATGGTTAGCAAGTGAAATATGACATATGAAAAAACAATTTTCATTGCTTTTCTTTCCATGGCTGTTTAGATTTTTCAAACAAATCACCTAGTGTATGTATACCTAATAACTAAACACTTAAACCCTAGGCCAAGGGATTATGAGGCAAAAAGTTTTTAGCACAAGCGTAGCGAGAACTGGAATTCATTGAGATAGAAAGTCACTTTTATCACAAAACGTAGGTACCTGAGTACCTACAAGTACACAATTTTTCACACTTTTGAACATTTTTGGTCATTAACTCACTTAGCTTAGTAATAGCCATAGTTTTTGATCGCCCCTGGTATATAAAGGAAGAGTTAAGAACACCTACTAAACATTTTTAGTTAAGGAAAGATAAAATAAAACAACTTTTAAAGCAATACATGTGGGTTTTTTGCTTAAGTACACTTTATATAGGTACCATCGTCACCAAAAGTATCTGGGACAAAAATAATGCATAATAATCTCCTGGACTAATTCTACTGTCATTCATTTCAATGCATTTGATTCATAGTTTGACAAATATTTGACAATAAAATTCATATAATAGTACAAGAGCTAATATGATGCTGTTCCAGTTACTTTTGGTGACGATGGTACTTAGGTTGCCTAAGGTAGTATTAGAAAACCCCCTGTATATCCGAAACTAGTCATAGGATCGGTTTGTACCCATGAGAACTTTTACTCAGCAGGTCTAAATATACAACATACCAAAATTTGGTTAAATTCCGCGTTCAACCAAAATCCCATAAGAAGTGTGCGGGGTCCATTTGTTGTCATCACCCTGATGACCTGAGTATTGAAACAAAAATTAGTACATTTGGGTTTTAGACCATTCTAAACAAGAATCTGCTGTCAGATTTTTTCTGAAAAAATCCCTAATAGTACTTATTGAAATTTCAGTTTATAAATGTGGACACCGTGTACAGGGTGTTTCAAATTCGAGCCACATCATTGGGATCTCGGAAACGGTGAGATATACAGGGTCGGTTAAATTGGGGCAAAGTTGCGTAATTTGATGCTTAACAAAATGCCGCTAAGATATTTAGGATATTTCAAATCTGACGTTTCGTCTTTGGGCCACCATTATCAACTTCATTTTCTTAAATATGGACCCCTATTTTTTATTTTAGATTTTTTAAGCTTCTGATGTCCTAAAACCAATAACCTATTGCACTTATTCGAAAAATTTATATTATTGGCATCTTTCATAAGAACTTACTGTGTTAGAGAGAGACAAAGAAGAGAATTTTGGTAAGAAATTACTAAAAAATAAAAAAATATATTTTTCCGAATAAATGCGATACTTCATAGGTTTTAGGACATCAGAAGCTCCTAAACTCTAAATACTTTGAAATAAAAAATCCAGGGTCGTATGTAAAAAAATAAAGATGATAATGGTGGCTCAAAGACGAAACGTCAGATTTCAGATTTAATGGTAGGGTAGGGTATCTCGTAGGGGAGAAAAAGTGACTATGACGAAGTGATATTTTTTCGAAATATTACCTCAAATAAAGTCAGGAAAAAATAAAGACAAAATTTTCCAAAATTTCGGTTTTTCCGGGTATCTCCGTAAGTATTCGGAATATCCTAAATGTCAAAGCGGCATTTTGTTAGGAATCAAATTATGCAACTTTGCTCCAATTTAACCAACCCTGTATATCTCTCACCGTTTCCGAGATCCCAATGATGTGGCTCGAATTTGAAACACCCTGTACGTACACCAGTACAACCGCAGAAATAGAATTATGAGCCTAATAAGTGCCAAATTCGAATGGTCGAATAAGTCAAAAAAAAATTAATTGAATCGGTTAAAAAATAAAATTTTTAGAAGGGTATGGTCATTCCTTAAGCGGAGCACACTGTATATGACTATGAGGGGAAAAACATGTATAACCACCTGCCTCTTGAGATCAAATATCTAGGCAATAGTGTCTTTTTTGCTCGAAAGGTGAAACAGCTTCTGCTTTTAAAAGCATATTATTCTCTGGAAGAATTTTATGGCGATAGGCTCTATAGTTTTAGTGATTGTATGAATTATGGCATCTATCTCAGTCTATCTGTAACTTTAAAAATATTTCAATCTTTATTTTTGTTTGTTCGCTTTTTTATTTGTATGTGCCATATATAAGAGCTTGACTGGATTTGTGAATGACATTTCAAGTGGCAGTTTTTGGTTTTTTAATGTTTTTAACTTGATTGTCTTTATTAGTTTTTAGTAACCCTCCAGTGTCTCCTCATAATGTTTCTGTATTATTTCCATTTTAGCTTTGTAAAAAAGGGTCTTAACTCTTATTAAGGCCTTTTTGTACAATAAAGCATTTTTTGATCTTGATGTGTCATGAGCTTGGGCGCACCAAGACCGTTCGGTGCAAATGTTTTTCCGAAAAACTTTTGGAAATTTCAATCTTTTCTCTGTCAGTTTGAATTTGAAAAATTTCATTCCAATCCCTCCAACAATGTCCCTACAGAAATTATAAACCTATAGTCAACGAAAAGCCAACTAAATCCTCTACAAATTACTGATCAATAGTTTCGTAGGTGCGAAGGTTTTAAGCAAATAGGATGAATCATTTTTAATAACGGCTGTATAAGGTAACCCCCTAAATAAACCTTAAAATAGTCGGATACCTAATAATGTAAAGATTTACATCCCTCAAATTCTAATATTGATTATCAAATCAATTTGTTTAATATTCTGTGAAGCCATCAATCCATCCCTAATAAAAATTATTGACTTCCCAAGCTTTATAAGTATTCAACATGTGACTAAGCGCAGGAAATGAAATTGGTGGGAATGACTCATGCACAATTTATTATCGATCTACTAGACCAGCACAAACGCCAGACACTATTATTGATATTTTATGTTGTCCTCAATAGAATATCTGCAAGAGATTTCAAGGGATAGTTTTTAAACAAGTGAATTACATTGTCTAGTAGTAGGAACAAGGAATAATTGAAGATTTTTAGGGAGGGGTTTCTCTTATGAAGTATGCTAGAAAAAAATAGATTGCAGGATCTACACCTAGCCACAGTAAATTCTCAATTTTCTTTTGGAAAAATGTCCTATGTGTACAGACTTTTATACACAAAAAAATAAAAGCAAAACATGTCATGTTCCAGAAGACTTATTAGCTCTTTTGATCTGGTTGCAACAAAAATAAAACACAAATATTATATAGAAAAATCTTTAATTTTGGTTTTAAAAGCTTTGAAACGAGGTTTGGTAATAAAAAAATCGGTAAATCTGCCAACGTTATTTTTTTTTTTTTAAATTAATTAAAAGCTAAACAATTCAACTTTGGACGGGAAACAAAAAAAAGTTTTGGTGAGGGGGGAAGGGGTTAATTAATACAATTCGCATGTGACAAACAGAAAAAAAAAGGATTACTTACACAAGATGGCAGTTCTAGTTTCAATGCTTATTTCAGAAAACACAAAATACAGATATTATAGAAAAACATTTTGGACTCTAAATTAAACATCGGACTCAGTCTTGAACAAACAAAATATTCGAAATAAATAATTATTGGAAACGTCCACAGTAACATGCGAAAAAAAAAAATTATAAGTGAAAAAATAAAAGATGCTGTGTGACTTAATTTAGTTTTCGTCAACTTCTGCTTCTTGATCTTCATCGAATTCAGCGTCTTCGTCAGCGGTGGCTTCTTGGTACTGTTGGTATTCGGATACCAAATCGTTCATGTTGGATTCAGCTTCAGTGAATTCCATCTCGTCCATACCTTCTCCGGTGTACCAATGCAAGAAAGCCTTACGCCTGAACATAGCAGTGAACTGTTCAGAAATACGTTTGAATAACTCTTGGATGGCGGTAGAGTTACCAATAAAGGTAGCCGACATCTTAAGTCCTCTAGGTGGAATGTCACAAACGGCAGTCTTAACGTTGTTAGGGATCCATTCTACGAAGTAGCTGCTGTTTTTGTTTTGGATGTTCAACATTTGTTCGTCTACTTCTTTCATTGACATTCTTCCTCTGAATACTGCGGCGACTGTAAGGTAACGTCCGTGTCTTGGATCACAAGCTGCCATCATGTTTTTGGCGTCAAACATTTGTTGGGTAAGTTCTGGTACTGTCAAAGCTCTGTATTGTTGACTGCCTCTGGAAGTTAATGGTGCAAAGCCGGGCATAAAGAAGTGGAGACGTGGGAATGGTACCATGTTTACAGCCAATTTTCTAAGGTCAGCATTCAATTGACCAGGGAATCTAAGACAGGTGGTTACTCCAGACATTGTAAGAGATACAAGATGGTTCAAATCTCCATATGTGGGGGTGGTGAGTTTCAATGTCCTAAAGCAGATGTCGTAGAGAGCTTCGTTATCAATACAGTAAGTTTCGTCTGTGTTTTCTACAAGTTGATGTACGGAGAGTGTTGCGTTGTATGGTTCTACAACTGTGTCAGATACTTTGGGAGAGGGGACGACTGAGTATGTGTTCATAATTCTGTCAGGGTATTCTTCGCGGATCTTTGAAATTAAAAGAGTACCCATACCGGAGCCAGTACCACCACCAAGGGAGTGTGTAAGTTGGAACCCTTGTAAACAATCACAAGACTCTGCTTCTTTCCTTACAACATCTAATACTGAGTCTACTAATTCTGCTCCTTCCGTGTAATGACCTTTAGCCCAGTTGTTGCCTGCTCCGGATTGTCCAAACACAAAGTTGTCTGGTCTGAAGATTTGTCCGAAAGGTCCAGATCTGACAGAGTCCATGGTACCTGGTTCCAAATCGACCAGGATGGCACGAGGTACGTATTTACCTCCAGATGCTTCATTGTAGTAGACGTTTATTCTTTCGAGTTGGAGGTCTGAGTCTCCGTGGTATGCTCCGGTGGGGTCGATACCGTGTTCATCAGAGATGATTTCCCAGAACTGAAACAAAATAAATAAGTTTTAAAATATGATAAAATCATCAGCAATATTTGAAAAGAAGTTAAAATTCTAAAAGAGAGAGTTTGGAGAAGTGTAGATTGTATGATTCATTGCGTGTTTTTCCCACAGTCATTGTGTGCGACTCATTGTCACAAGATATATAAATAGAATTGATATTTTGATGTAACAATAATTTCTCTTATGTGAGCATCTGAATGTTTTTATTTACAGTGGTGGATTCGTAAAAGTCTGGGAACTCACTATAGACATCTAAAACCAACAAAACACATCAATTCAAAAAAAATGGAAAGTCAATAATAGTAAAAGAAAAAAGGAAACCTACTTTTTACTGTATTCATGGAAAAGATCAAAAGGGGGAAGCCTCCTGGGAAGTTTTTACCTCAAACCAAACACGAACAGAGGAAGTGAGTAGTAAACCAAAAAAACTAGAACACAGTGAGGATATTGAGGTCACCTTCTGGTACACAAATGTAAAAAATCAGTTAATTCGCCTACTATTGGAATAATAAAACAATAAAGAAGGTCCAGAAAATTTGAATGAAAAAGAACGAAATTCAAGTTTCAAAGTTAGAAATATTAATGTCTATTATTTGAGTCACTATAGCCAACTTGCATGATATTAAATTAGATTTTTATCGATTCAACAACTGAAAAAATATAATAAATCTTATTTCGTGCAGAATGCTAATAAGACAATCATTATTGATTGCCTGAAAAGACTATTCATTATCAGCAATGACATCATAATGTAAATTAGGGCTATTTTAGGAAAAGTCCCCAATGAAATAAATTAAATGAAGTCTAGCAAAAAAATAAAACAAGCTCCCCAAGAGTCATATTAAGATAGGTAATCTAAACCACACCCTATACTGTCTGTTGGCACAGCAAAGCAAAGGCGTGGCAAAATCAATATACTTTTCCTGCTTTCTCTAGCAAGGAAGATTCTTTTATGAGGGTTTTATCTTGTAAAGTTCATTGCAGCTTATTTTTAAAATAGAAACCCCACAATGATGGGCATAAAAATAGAAAGCAAGAACACAGGTATAAGACAAGTGTTTTTCCTAGACAGTATGCTAATATTTAGCAATAAATTAGCACCAGTTTGCATTGAGGTAAATAATAAAAACAAAATTTAAAATGATCCAAGTCACTACTAAATATAGACACAACTGTCGTGAGGATTGCGTAATCAATTCCCGTATATGGTATCCAATTGAAGGAAGGCTTCGACCCACTAACAAAATGGCTCATTGCAAACATGTGTTACTTGAATTGAAAGGTGAATAAATTTAATAAATCCAAGAATTAAGGCTGAATACTTTTGTTTTTAAAACTAAATTGAATTTGAGGTTCAAAAATGTTCCTGATAAATAGATATATACATCATATTTATTTCTAGAAATCATAAATTGATAAAATTAATGAGAGAATGTTATAATGGTGGCGTGTGGATTTGCTTAAAGATATTACCCTACTTAAGAACAGGCAGTCGATGATCATCAATAATAAATTTCTATTCTCTGTGTTTCATTATCTACAATGTAATTATTGTCACACATCAGTAAAGCATGACCATAGAAAGATAAACATTCAACAAGATGACTCCACAATTATTATTGTTCATACCTCAATTTATTTTTAAATGTCACAGATAAAGTTCAAGTGTTAATACATTTTTGTAAAAAAAATGTGATGTTTGGCTGAGGAATTTGGGAGGATCAACTAGCAACATAAACATGCATATGCTAGTAAAAAAATAGGTTAATTTGAGAGAATATTTTCAGGAATTCCGAAACATTTTTTAAGTAGGAAATGTGCTGTTTTGTGGAGCAAGATATTTTTAGCAGGCAATTTTGACAACAAGCATTTGAGGTGGCGAGAATTTTGAATATCATAGTAAAATTTGAAATTGTTCAGGAAAAAACATCAACACGAGAAATACTTAAAAATCAACTTTTGAAAACTAAATCAAGAATAATGAAAATGCACTCTCCCAGATTTTAATGTTTTTCTGAAAAACTAATGATGGAAAAATCGTTAAACTTTTGGGGTGAAAAGAATGATATCAGATTCAAATTCTAAAATTCGAAAACTAACTAATAATTCATTATGGTCAAAAATTCTCCTCTCCTCTGAAGTTTGCTTTAACAATAACACAGAAGACGAACATCAAACTGTAAAAAAAAACCATTCAAGTGTAAAAAGCAATTAAACCGAACAAATTTTCTGTAGTGATTTATTGCAAACTTCAAAGTTTAGACATGCACTAAAAACATCTCAAAACCTATCTTATTACAAGACAAGCAAAATTTTATGGAAGCCACCAACTGTTCCTGTCATCAAAACCCATTAAAGAGAAAATCAAGAAAACATTCTCGGAAGTTATAGAATCCATCTTTAAATTTAGCCCTGTGGCATTTTGTCTATAGGATGTTGAACTCGACGGGGCCAGGCAGATGAAGGCCAAGAAAATCACAAGAGCCATCGGAGTGTAGAAAATAGACGAATCGATGTGCTCTAGCGTAAAATATGCGTTTTTTTTAATAACGGAAACTGGCAATCAACGATGGTGGCTCATCGCTGAACTATTTTAATGCAAATTCAACCTAGTTTGATGACGTTGCGATTTTATTGCATCATTGAGATTAAATTTGATCCTGGAAGATAATTTTCAATGTAGGTATAATAATAAATTAGTGATGGAATATTTGATTGAGTTAATATACAATGATGTCAATTTGCCAAATATTTATATTTCACCGATTTTCTCAAGGATCAAATAATGCACACTTTAGGAGATTCTAATCGTTATCTTTGGTTGGAGTAACTAAAAATAATGAAATATACCTATATACATTATGATGATAACAGCAATTGACAGCTGTTTCAAATCATAATATCTACTAAGCATTGAGCAATAACGTGATAATAACAACATAAGGTAAGTATTGTCCAAGGCACTGACTATTGTTCCTATTCTTCGGGATCTCTTGTGAAGGCAGATGTGAAATAGAAGGTGGTGGGACTTTGCAATGCCAACATTTTAAAGGCAATGGGTTTTCAGAGCACTATTCATTCTAAAAAAGTCGGAATGTCTGGGTCTGCTGGGTTCCTTTGGCAAATTTATTAAATTTTATGACTTCCTAAGTAAAATATTAGCTGTATTTGGTAATTCTTTTTTTTAGTTGAGTAAATTTCTGAGTACTTAAGTAAGTTTGATTCAAAGAAAAATCTCAAAAATAAAATTCTATAGAATTTCGGCATAAGGCATGTATTTTATCACAGTTAATTTCTGAGAATCCATTCATTAAATAAAAATCAAGAACTTTTATTCCTATATTTCTTCTGAAATAAAAATATGAAACTTTTGCTATAATTGAAAAACATTTTTATATTTTTTTAATTAAAATGAGTAATGAGTAACTTCCCTAATTTGATTGGGCACAACGAGTGTCTCTGCAGTTTTCAAATTGCTGTATTATACATTTTGGCATAGTGAGTGTATCTGCAGTTTTCAAATCCCTGTTTTATGTATATATTTTGGCAAAAATTCAACCTTTTTGTTTCATAGTTTTATTGGACTTTCTCTTTTGAATCAAATAATTGTTTGTATCATCATTTTTAATACTTATTGGCATTTAATTCTTTGTAGAGCAATTCTGAGTCAAATCATTGGTTCACATTAGAACTTGTAGAAAATGTATCGAGTTAAGTGATTTTGTGAGGCTATATCCAGTAATTGTAATTTTCAAAAACCAGAAATCTCAAAACGACATGTTTTTACAAAGTTGCACAATAAAATTCACCACAAGAACTGCAAAGTTTATTTGGATATCTAGGATACCCATTGCAATACCTATTATAGCTCTGTTCCAACTGACATGAGAACAGTAATTTCCAGTCAATCAATTAATTTGTCAAGTAGGATGAAAGTTCAACTTATTGTAAAATAGGTGGGCAACTGGAAAATACTGATTCTGGAACGCTTCTCATGTCGGTTGGAACAGAGCTTATACCTACAAAGAGCCCCAAAAACGTCAAAATCAGATTAGTATTTTTCAAGCTATTCAAGAAAATCAACGTAGGGATATTTCTTATCCATAGCATAACAGGACCTACAAAACTTCAACAAGCTATATCTGCTATCACAGACATACAATCCCCTTTAAATTTCATTTTTTTTTTGCAATGCTGATACCTTTCAAATGTTAAAATTTACGGGGGCCAATTGTTTGGGCAGCAAAAAAGTTTATTTGATGCATTGCTTCCTAGATAATCACTCGATTTTGAAGCTTTTTCAAATTTAGCTCATAATTTGCAAAATGGGAAAGTTGCTCCACAAAATTTACCCATATTCTTAGGTCTACAAGAACTTTATTTAGTTCTTCATTTAATGGAAGTTTTTTCATAAATTTGATTTTCAAAGAACCCCGGTTCAAACCTGATGAACTACACAAAAAGATTACCAGGGGCGTTTATGCACTTAATATTCACAACCTCCATACTTGAAAGAGAGACAACACAATATCAGGGTGATTTACGTGCATTAGCAGTTTTTGATGTTGCAGGGGGATTAGAAACTTCAAATTTGGTTTGTAGCCATAATCAATCGTTCCGGTGTTATCAAAAATATTTTCAGATCTTCAACTATACAGAGTGTACCAAATGTAAGCACTAACTTTCTTATTTCGAATAGAAACTCGCATCTTTCTCAACATAGTTTGGTTGGCCCTGCAATTTTGATTTTGGACCACCCAAGTTTTGTCAATCTATCCTTAATAGTTTTTGACAAATTTTACATGATGTTACAAGCATTCCCTATACCTAACTTGATTTGTTATGGAGTTATCCATAGAAAAATCCATCTAGTCAGTCCAAATACACCTTTCACGCCTGTCAAGTGTCAATAAATAGCCGCTGTAAATGTAGTTTGGAGAAAAATAGTATATTGTTTTATTATGAGTTAAAGTAATACTTTT